CCGCTCAGCTCCAGCCACCGCCGCCCGAGAGGGTGCTGGAGGGCCAGCCGAGGCCCTGCCAACCCCTGGGCAAGGCCCATCTTTATTTTTGCGTCTGGCGTGGATTACAAAGAATTTCCTCTTTCCTGATTTTGCTGTAGAAAGGGAAATTACATTTCGGCGGGATACTTTTACCGCCGTCTGCCAGACGGTTTCATATCCCTATGGCATCCGCTGGTGGGCCTGGGCCGTGAGGGAAGTGTTATGGACCAGAGCACACAGGCACTGTGGCACAGCCGCGCCGCCCGGACGCCATCGGCCTCGCAGCCCGGGCGCTGCGCCCGCGGGGAAGGTAGCCGTAGCCGTGTCCAAAGGGAGACGCTGGAGGCTTCGTTTTGGCACATTTAATGATCCAACCCATCCTTAAGTGCAGAAAGGGATGGTTCTATAGGAGAATACTTGCTTCCATAAACCTGTTGTACGTGGTACTTGGTGACATCTCAATTTAGCTGCTGTGCACATTGATTAAGTCATCAGCTGTCCCACTCTGCAGCTCTTTGACCTCATCTTTTGCTCTAGAAACAGTGTTGTGTTCTCCTGCGTATGGCCTGACAGCTGTAAAGATCACTTAAACCGTAGTGCCCCGGGACACTACTCAAACAGTGTCATGTATAGATAACTGCATGACAGTTAACAAAGCGTATCTGCACTATTTTATAAGTCTTAGCTAACAGCCCTGTTGTTTTCAGACATTTTATGTTTAGAATCCGGGTGGTATATCTCATCACTGCTTTTCTTGCTCTTAAATGGAGAGCAAATGGAGGTTTTTGTCCTGGTGAAGGTAATCTGGAGCCCACTGGACCGTTAATGATCCAGGCTTCTTTTGTTTAAACCCAGGCCTTACCATGAAGGCAAGTTCTAAAGTTACTGCATCACTGAGATTTTGGAAAGGCTAGGTTAGCCTCTTATATTCAATTAAAAAATTGTGCTCCCCAGTATAAAATAGGTCACTAGATTAGTGTAGAAGGAAGTGAACGTGGTATTAATAGACTGGCATTAGCCACTACAATACGTGCTTACAACAGTGCACAAAAAGGAACTAAGTGAGAATTAGTGTTCTGATCATGAAGACATAGACTGCAAATAAATAAATATATGTCAAAATTTGTTTTAAAATGTCATTTCTGACAGGAACTTCCATAGGTGTTCTGGGGGTGGGCATTTTCCTTTAGCAGCCCCCTGCCCTCGGGAAGCTGCCATCTCCTCTTCAACAGCAGCACAGTTTATCTCAGAAGTCCTGCTATACATGCTAAATAATCTTTGTTTTCATTGGGGAGGGAGAGGGAGCGGGCGCAATACAGGTTCTAGCAAATGTTAACATCTGTTTGCGTTCTGTAGTTAAACCCACCAAGTTAAAGCATAGAATCATAGAAGGACCCAGGTTGGAAGGGACCTCAAAAGATCACCTGGTCCAACCTTTCATGGGAAAGGGAGCCTAGATGACGCTATCTAGCAGTCTGTTCAGTCGCATCTTGAAAACCTCCAGTGATGGGGACTCTACCGTGTCCCTGAGGGGTTGTTCCAGTAAATAATTGTTCTTACTGTAAAAAATTTCTTACGTCGAGATGAAAGATGGAGAACCCATTACCAGAAGGAGGCTGGTTCATTCTCCCGGGATCATAAAGCCTTGATTGGCAGAGGATTTGTCTCCCAGAATAATGCTGTTGTGTGCCACAGGCTCACTGCTGTCTCAGTTTGGTTCGCCTCCCAACGCGTCTACAAAAGAAGAGTGTTTAGGCCCAGCCTTAGTTCCCTAATGTAGGAAAGCCATTACAGCTAAAGAAAACCCTTCTAGAATGAATTCTTGAAGAACTATTGTTTAACATTTGAAAGCAAATGGAATTTGAGTCAAAACTGTAGTTGCTCCAGACTATAAAAGCCTGGAAATCTGTTAGGTCCTACTTGTGAATTTGCTGAGTTTGCAGTGTATCCCAAAACACTAATTACTGTCATCAGAGCTGATCCAGTTCATTTATTTTGCCACAAGCTGTCTGTTTCTTATACAAGCTACCAGATAATACTTGAGAAGTACTACAGAAAATTGAAGTCTTGACATCCATGAACTTCAGGTCAAACACATAATACTGCTTGGATTCTCCAGTAGCACTGTGATAGCTTTTCTAAGAGTTATCTTACTCAGGTAGATCTTTTCCCATCCTCCAATTTTTCTGAAAGAAATGAGACCAATCATAAGACTTTAAAATACATATTTTAATGTATTTTTCAAAAATATTAGTGTATTTACACAAATCTCTCGTTTGAAAAATATTTTGTACGTGTCTACTTCAAAACATCTAGTTTAAAAAAAAGTTCAGCCAGATGACTACATTGCACAAATTTGAAAGAACATTCACTGTAGATATGAGCAATTAAAAAAATACAACAAAGAAACACATACCATTGCATTAACAGTAAGTGAGTGCACATTTTTAAGTTGCTAGCTTCCACAAATTGTTCTTCCCATAAAAATTGCTTAGTCTGTGTCAGTAACTTGTACCCACTTTTACACTGGAATTTGCATTTCCTTCTTCTTCACAGACACCCCCCCCCCCTTTTCCTTATACAAAGGTTGCAATAAAATGCATTACAGTAGTATTTCATTTACAAAACAAATGACATTAAAACTTGTTTCTTAACCCATTGGATTGTATTTCAGTAAAACAATGTCCTTTCATGGAGGTGCAACAGAGATCCCAAGACCTGTCTGGATGTGGAGGATGATCTCTCTCTCGAAGCAGTCCTGCCTGGAAAGGGCGACTTGAATTGCTGCATGATGTTGTGTCAATTCCTCTTTGGAGGGATATCATCTTCAGGTTTGACAATTAGGATAGCATGTTAAACATTGTATTTAGTAAAAATAAATACAAATAAATTAAAAACAAATTATGGAAGAATATTATTTTCGTGTTGATATTGCTTGGAGGAAAGCTTAGCAATGAAGCTTGTGGCAATATCTAGATTACACATGAATGGCAGGTCCGTTTATTTCAGTAGTACTCTCTGAACAAGGAAAAAAGAGCTATGAACATGGCTGTAATTTTGGAGAAAGATAGTAGTGATCTTCTTTCAAACTTTGTTAGGAAGCCATTTTCCTGTGGAAAAGAACATGCACGGTTAGGGACAGCTTAAAAATAACGTGTAGGAAAAACACACCACTCTCTGCTAGTATCGGATTAACAGAGTGCTACACCATTGTGCATAGAGGGACAGGTTTTCCGAGCTCTCCCTCCAAAAGATGAACAGGGCTTTAAAAACAGCGGCTGAAAATAGCTGCACCTTGCTGCATGTTTGTTTTATCTCCAAGTCAAGACTCTGCCCTTGCTGTGTAAATAGAACATGGATGTGAGATGTATCATCTGAGCCCACATCTTAAAGGAAGATACAAGTACTGTGTTTGTGATGTAGTAATACACTTATAAATATCTTCCTTTAAGCCTCCTTATTCTACTACAATGAGCCGTGTATTATGACAGAAAGTTGCCAGGAATTGATACTTCTCTTAAATAAAATTGACTCTATTTGAAAGAGATGGAAAGAGAAGCCTTTACAATAAATCTGATGCATCAGGGGTCCATGACTTACTGTCACCTTCTTTTACTGTTACCAGGCAGAGAAGGACCAAAGCAAGCAAAAAGAGAAGAAAGGAAAAGAAAGACACTAGAAAACAAGTGAGGGAAAAAAGTAATAGCAAATAGGAAATAGAAGTGGAACGAGAGAGGGGTGGAAAGAGAAAGTGACATTTACGTATAGGTGAAGGAAAAAAGCACCAGGGAAATAACTCTGACAACTCTGATGCCATTGATTCTCAGTTTCCCCTAACTGCAAAAGAAAAAGGTATTGGCATGATGAAACTCTGCAAAGCAGAAGGGACCTCTCCTCCACTGGCAGAAGGGAGTTTCAGCAGCTTGGCAAAATAATCCACATATTGACAAATGGTTTTCTCAGCATTGACCATCGGTATATGGAAGTTCTAGGATTACCTCAGTCCAAACAAGCAGAAAAAATTTAACCCCAATTGCACTTACTTGTAAATTTGTTTAACTAAAACTGATTTGGGGGATTAAAGAATGGCTTTGTTGAAATCCACAGCAAAAGTACTGACTTCAGCTGTGAGGATCACACCTGTATATTCTTCCCTTTACTTTGAACTTTAGTAATTTTGGACCAACT